ATTTACAACTCTTCCTAAGACATTCCACATAGACTTGTTTGGGCATTTTCTTCATAAGATTTTTCTCTGCAGTTGCTCTTTAGACTGCAAAATCTGTATCTCTTCAGTAAAGGCCTGTTGGCTTTATTTTCCTGTTGATAGCTCTGGTCAAAGCATTCAAAAGCCTGGTGTAAGACATACAAGAGAGACTGACGCAATGAGAATTAGATCATAGAGAATATTACATACGTAGTGCAGGCTTTGTCTCTAAATATTTGGAAACTTGTTACAATGAATGTGTAACTCTTTTATGTTGTCTAATTTGAATTTTAAAACTTACATAAAGAGTAATATACAGTATAATATTCCAGGAAGGAAAATCATGGAAGGCTTGCGTATGCTACTGTTAGTCCCAATGACTGTGAGAATCACTGAAGGTAATAATAGTGAGTTACAAACACTCTAGGCTGAACAGTTTCAAAAGAAACAATATCTTTAAAAACCACCTGACATTTATGTTGACAGAATTTGCCAAGGCAAACCTCAATTTGAATAAATTCCCTGAGTAGTATGGGAGATGTTTTTGTTAAAATCTTTCAAATCCATGTAACATAGTTAAACACCTGCCTGAGGTTATTGTTGTGATGTTATACTGAACTTCATACAGCAAGAAACATGTAATTTATAATAATCTCTCTCTTTAGATGAAATAAACACTTTATTTAGGATAAAATCTGTGCTTCTGTTGCCATATAAAGAAAGCAACCAAATGTATAGTAGAACTACTTCCTGTTCCTCCTTCTCACCGTCCCAAATCCCTCATTTAAGATATCCATTCCTGGGTTTTTTCTCTGAAGAAAACTAAGAGACAGAGAGAAAATAAAATATACAGTGCTTTTGCAGTGCATACTTTCTATCTTAAAAATTATGAGTGTATACACTTTATTGAAATTCAGAAAAGGACCTCTACTGGGATAGCTCCTGGTGTGAAGAAAAAGTTGACTGAAATATATTTAATTATAAAAGTTTTAACTTTTAAATAGGGATTAAGAGCGTGGCACATCCCCCAATTGTTTTGTAAGGAATTGCCAGGAAGAGAAACTTGAAAGGACAGTTTCTCTCTCTTCCACTTGCCACCCCGGTATCTTGCCATACACGTGCAGTGACAGCTTATGAGTGCCTTTGACTGAAACCAGGCACAGCAATTTATCAGACCTCCCTTAAACAAGATACAATTGCCATGGGCATTTTCACTCCAATTTCTATAGCTTCATTTAAATGTAAGCACAAAAGGGATGACCAAAGCTGAAAATGCAACCCCTTTATCCCATGACCTCATTCTTTTTTCAGGCAACCTACTTCCCTGAACAATCATTCACTTCAGTGACTACGCCCTTGAACAACAATTTATCAAAGCAGCACACCACTCCCTACAGAACAGGAAACTTTTCTGATAATGTATAGAAATCCTAGAACAGTACAGGAGTTATCCACAATCTTTGCAATCAAAGAAAAAGCACAAAAAATCATATAAACAAGGGTTACCCCCAGCTGAATAATTGTTGAGAACAGAGGCCATTCATAAACACACATTTTCCCCCAGTCTGCTCTCTAGAGTTAGATTTGTTTGCAAGTTTCAAATTCAAAAGAATGGCAACCCTTATAACAAATACACTAAAATAGTCCTCTCTCACAAAACATGTTTAACTTGATAAAATACTGATGCCACGACACAAAATAATCCTTTAAAAAGAAATATAAATAGATACATGGGACACCTACAGACCAGGCTCCATATGTCTGTCCTAAAAAATGAACGCTCCCTGGACAGGTTCATGGTATTTATCCAGAGGATCACAGTATTTGCTAAAAAATAGGCACTTAATAAACATGTATTCAGTGAATGACTGGTATTTAAAATATTTTATTTTAATCCATTTTTCTCTCTCACAACAGAGCTCCTCTGTATACATGAAAGATATCTTGAACTTCATAAAGCCTAAATTGGTGGAAGGAAAAAATCTAAGCCCAGTAAATAATTAATATCAATGTTGCCCATTTAAGGCATTTCCTTTTGAGTTAATGATGGTAGGTAAATAGCTAAGCTTTTAAAAGATTGAACTATGAATTTTTGTTTTATTTTAAGCTTCTAAAACTCCGTTTATTTGCAAGACCACGTTTAGTTCTAAAACGCACCTGAGATCTTGATTATAACTGTTTGACTATACCTGCTCATGTAGATAAACCCAGTAATTTTAATTCTACTATTAATTTAGAAAATTTCACCAGCAACTGATTTCTACATTTAATTTTCTCTGAGAAAAACCCTATCAATCAAACAAAATCATACCCAAAAAACAGAATATATTTTTAAAGAAACAAAGTAACATTATATATCTGGAGAAATTTAAAATATGATTATATCCATAAACACCATTTTAGTGCACAAGAGGTTAAGAGAAGAAAAGCATGTACTCAAAAGCTGGAAATGGAAAATACTAAAGTGCTACAAAAAACATTTGATTAAATCAAAAATGTTTACTACATGACCTAAAGTTATGATTCAGGAAGCAAAGCAGAGTAGCATGAATTTTGGTTTCTCAAGGACAACATATTTTACTAATGGTAATATTTATTTTAAAATCTCATGAATTCCCTGAATGTCATCCAAGCACCAAAAGACAAAAAAAAAAAAAAAAGTAAAAGTTTAACTGAATTCATGATGATCAACAATTGATTGTAATATCCATTTTTCTAGCTGCCATGGTCACAAACTTTGTTATTAGACTAATTGTTACACATCAGCTCATCTGAAACATGGCTCATTAAGGAGAGACTTTATTAAAACATGAAGTGAATGAAAGGTTTTTGAATAATATGTACTGTTGCTCAGGCTTGTCATGGTACATAATAAAGCTGCCATCACATTATACTCATTTCGTCAGCATAAAGGTAATTTCAGATCAAATCTAGGTCTTACTTTACATGATGCCACAATGGCCTTCCATCAATAAACAGGGAGAAAGGAAAAGAAAATAGAGTAATTTTCTAGTCATATTCTTTGTGGTAGCTATCTTGCCAAATTGTCTTTTGTGGATTTGTGAATGCCCTTTGATATCCAATGCAGTTTGAAAATTTGTAGTCAAATATTCTCTCTTCTTGTTTCACTGAGGACTTAATACTTCTTTTTTTTCCTTTTAGCTCATAGCTTAATTTTCACCTTTCTCATTTGCTTTCAGCACTTACTTTTCTTTCTTTTCAGTCATAAATAACTTCAGACTTCACAGAGTCCTCCATTCTAATCTTTTATCCCAGTTTCTGCGGCCGCACCTTCTACCTCTAAGATTCTTTATAAACTCCTCCATGGCAAACTGCATTTTAGGATAGAGATAGTCCATTTGTAAGGATTACTTTGGCAAATGCCAGGTAAAATAAGGAAAATCTTGTAAAAAGTGCAACCAACTTGGTCCTGAGTTAGTGGAAGGGAATTTGAAACAAGTAGCAAACAACAAAACATATTCCTAAAAATTGTTCTGTAGCCAATATTTATAATTTGTGAAATTTCAGCTTTTAAATGTCTATTACTTTCTTTTACTAGCAAGTTGACAAAAAAGTTTCTAAATATGTTTAAGTAACTATGGCAAATAGGATGATTTTAGCATTCCTATGATAATAGTAATTGTTTTTAACCTTCACATTATTGTTTTTGAGCTACAATAAAATGAAGGTGACATTCATTTGTTCTGCATTAGCATCTCAATATGAATATTGGGATGAACATTTGCATTATTTTTATCACTCACACAAACTAGTATTTTTGACCTTTATATTTTTTCTTCTCCTTGACCTCAGTACTAGTGGAATTTTGCTCAACCAGGAAATTACTGATGGTAAATCCTAAATTTTTAAAAATATTTTTCTCTGAAATGAAGGTAAGATTGAAATAGAAGAGTAAAGTTGTGGCATTTGGAGTTTGTGGGTTATCTATATCTTTGAATAATTATTTTAAAAATTGTTCTATAATGCAGTTGAGAAATGTTACTTTATATTCTACTTAAATTTGTGAGTTTTCAAAAAGTAATATTTGTTATTCCTGATTGGTAATAATAATGTAGCATAGCATCATATCCCAATTACTGCTTTTTGAGACTTTCATATCTTAAAAGCATAATTTCAGTTTGGACAGAATTTTCCATAAAGCTTAAAACATGCAAATTTAATGTAAAAGTTGTCAGAAGATGAAAATACACATAAATCTGTCTTACAGTGTTACCCTGTATTTATTGACAAAGTTATTAACACAGATATTGATGCTAAGAGTAACTCTGAAGAAACAAATTTATTTCATTTTATAGGATGTCTTAGAGTTCCGTCTTTTGTAGCTTTCATGTAACAGTTGCTTACGTCTTGGCCTCCTCAGTCCTATATTCATTCTTTCAGTAATCTTTCTATAAGTATTCCATAAATTATTCACCTAGGCTGTACCACAATCAGTGTGTCATTCTTGGATGATAAAACACATATGACAATTCAGATATTTGCACCTCTCACTTATCCTGGGGCAGCATACTCTTTGCTAAGCACAAATAATTGCTTATCATTCAGACATACCACTATACCTGCATCACCATATTTGATACAAAAAAACCTGTTTGCTTCTGATATGAAGTGAATCAGTAAGAACTTGTTTTAAAAACAAACTGTATTCAACTTGAGAATTGCTTTGCAGTACAGGCTAAAGGATTCTTTGGATCAGATCTTTCAGTCAAACCAAACAGAAAAATGAACCTTCCTACGCTGTTGTTAGATTATGAAATCATTGAAACCCAAAGACAAACAACCATAGACACTAGTAAATGAAATAACAGCCAAGAGATGAATTGGGTGACTGTCCAAGGTAAATATAACTGCAGTCCACCAAAAAATATCCTGTAGGATAGACGCAAAGAAGCAGAAAGGAAGAGAACTCAGGTTGAAGTTTGCCCTTCTCCACTAGCCCAGCATAGCTGTCTTTGCTGTACCTGAGAGTGGTTGCTCCAAACCAAATTTTGGTAGGAGGAGGCAGTTTTGAGAGGGGAGAGCACTTCCCTTGAGTTGAAGGGGTCCAAGGCCTGCACCACCTTGTTCATGGGCCCACTGTAGGTCCTCACTCGCTCATACACTACGTTTTTTTCTGGAGGCTGCTGGGCTTGGCTAGACTGATGGTAGCAGTGGTAATGCTGGGGCTGCCACTGCAGCACCTCTGGAGCTGCTGGGTTCCACAGCTGCTGCTGCTGGTCTCACTCCGATAGCTTGAGCTCATCTTCTTCCAGTCGTGAGCAAGGGACCAACCAGTCGCTCTCCCTAAGAAACAAAGAGAGAAATATAATGGGGAAAAAAAAAAAGGCAGGCAAGCAGGCGGGCAGGCAGACAAACAACACACGTGTAAAAACCACTTAACCAAAACCTCTGCCCATAGTGGTGCCAGGAAGAGAAGAAAGCTACCTGAGCAGCAGCAAGAGCAGGTCTGGCAGCTGCAGAGGAAGCAGCAAAATACTTGAACTCAAATGGAAAATGGAGCCACCCTGCGACATTGCTCCAGGAAATGGTACTGACACGCCCTTGAGGGGCGGATTCACCTAGCAGGTTTACATGCCAGGAAAGGCCCTGCCTTGCCACGGAGATAGCTACAAGGCTGCCCAGTAGGTAAAGGAGTCTGTGAAGAGCAGAAATGCAGAATGTCAGGGATGAAGCCAGATCTTCCAAGCGCATGGGCTTAAAAATTCACCAAGACATGTGCATGCAATAACTTGCTAGAGAAAAAAAGTCACAAATGTTATATGAAAGTGTCTTTTTTATGGTTCTTAAGTGATCAAAGGTAGTTACCAGCATAAGTACTATCATTCCGGATTCCCAGACCAAAATAATGAGTATTAGTCTAATGATAACACCAATTTTCACAGATAAATTTGCATTCTTTGCAAAACCCAGCTAATAATTGCAGTTTAGGAACATTGCTAAGGGGCCTCTTTCTAGCAACTTTGTCTAATTTATGAACTTTATCTTACTCAAGACCTCGTATTCTTTTTTATTATACATTGAAGGAGAATTTTCTAAATGATTGAATTGCTGTATAGAAAGGTGGATGGTCAAGAAAAACCTAAAGATGCCACAAATGCTTTGCATTGTGGCATTAACATCTACTGTTTTTCATTTTTGCAAAGGAATTTCTCCTGCCCTTATATGCGTCTCAGGAAACACTGCATTTGATTGCCTTTTTAACATCTAGTTATTAAAGGAACCGCAAGTCCTGAGAGGTGCCTTAACTGACATAATGAAATTTAAATGTGTTTAGAACATTTATTGCTACTTGAAATTTTGATTATAATCCCTACTTACCATCAGATTTTGCTATGCAATATACTTCAGCACCACTTAAATCCAAAATATTAATTGAAAGTGACTTTAGTAAAAAGTATCTTCCTAACATGTATATGTATTCTCTTCCCAGAGAGGAAGAGAATGTCATCCAGGGGGCTAGCAGCATCTTTTTTTTTTTGCCCAGTTCAAGGAATTTTATGTGGATTATCATTATTTCAACCTCGAAGTGACTTTATGAAGATTTATAGGTGAGAAACTGAGGCATAGACATTGAGAGTTTGAAAAACTTTCCAAAGTTAAATAACCTGTAAATTATGGGTCTGGGATTTTAATATATGGAGATTCATATTAGAGTCTAAGCTCTTATCTTCTGCCAGATGAATTATACTGCCAGATGAATTCTCAAATTGTTCTGTATCTTGTCATCTATAAATCTTCTAGGTGTAAATATCAAAAAACACTTCAGAATGCTAGCCGTGAGTGAGTTTAAAGGAATCTTTAGATTTTTTATGGTGGAGGGGTGTGCAAAAAGCTGAAAATCACCCTTAAAAGCTTTACAATTCATTACTTTATATTTACATGAATACTTGTGTGCTAGGTGCAGACCTTCAAATCTGATCCTTGCTCATTTTAATGATGTTCCTCAAGAATCAATTAAAATTTAATTAGAAATATATGACATGTTAAATAGCCTGGTAAAATATCAGATCAATAACTCACTAATATCATTAACAGTATCTCTTTGAATAAACTTTATGTGTGAACAGAGAATAGGTGTTAAGTGAGATCATCCAGTCAGCTTTGATTCATGTTAAAATATAAATTACACACACACACACACACACATTCATGTGAGCACACACAGAATGCTGCAAATATCTGCTACAACCAAGAAGTGACCTATTAAATAAAGTAAGAGACTGAGATGAAGAAAAAAATTCCTTTATCCCTAAAATTGTGACCATAACTGTTCTTCACATTTCTTGGATAATATAGTGTTTTGAGCCAGCTTCCATGATACAGTTTAGCTACAATTTGTGTGTAAAACTGATAACTTCACCCAATATCTGAGCCTCATTCATCACTATTTCTCCTCTCTGGGTATGAGGGACAGAGAGCTTGAAACTTAGGCATAGTATATTAGAAATGAGATTAAGCACTGTCTGGCAGACAAACCACATCTAACTATAAAGCAGGTGTTGAGCACAGTTGTTCCTTTCAGAAAGGCTTATTAATGATTGTCACCAAGATTTCTACTTCTCTGACAACTCACTTGTGCATCACATGATCAGTATCTCTAATTTGTTTTCCTCCTTTATGAGGATGATGCTCATACTAACCTATTTTTGATTAAGAAATAAATATAAATGTGTCTTTCTAGGTAGTAATAGCACTTGCCCTATTTTACACTTGAAAATCCAAGGGATTGACATCTGTATTCTGCATCCTTCATGATCATGCCACCCTTGTAACATTAGTGGATGGGGTATTAACAGTTGATTTCTTATTCTTAACTCCAGATTTGTTCAGAGAATCTTTAATTATATTTCCAACAGTTCTTTTGTTTCATACAGTAATAGAGATACTTTATGCCTACTACTGAAAAAACCTCATTTACAATGATGGATTTGGGAGACAGAATTGGTAACCCTTTACAAGTTAATTCAGTTCTAACAGACTTAAGAAAATCTTTATTGCTTTTGATTAAAAAAATAACTCATTTAAAAAAATTCAAATGAGTAAATACATGAACAAAGTAGAAAATTAAACTCATCATACCGATAGTAGGAATAAGGGATAGAGCAAGGATCAGAAATTCTTGCTGCACACTTTAATGGTATTTTTTTAAAAAAAACAACCATTTACATTTTGACTGAGTTGTCTTGAAGGCCATCTGAAAAAGTCCTGATTTGACCTACTGAGGCTATTGGAAATACTAACTCGGTTGCTTCTATACTCTCACAATACAGAACACTTCTGTGCCCCAGATGTGTGAGGGTTCTTTCCCTACCCACCGGGTAAGTGATCAGTGGACACCAGCGGTGTGTCCTCTAATTCAATTCTGACACTATCTACTTGGAGATAGCATTATACCTCACAGGTTGAGGACTCTCAGTCCCACAAGACTGTCCTGACTTCAGACACTAGTCACAAGCCCCTGGTTGTTGTACCTGTGCCTCTGATCAACCAGCTATCAATTGAAGTTCATATTACCTCCTCCTTGGGTTTAATTAATTTGTTAGAGCTGCACACAGAACTCAGGGAGACACATACTTACATTTACTGGTTTATTATAAAGGATATTACAAAGGATTCAGATGAACACCAGATGGAACAGATGCATAGGGCAAGGCACAGAGCCTCCACGTCCTCTCTAAAATCCTCCACATGTTCAGCGATTGGGAAGCTCTCTTTGAACCTAGTCCTTTTGGGGTTTATGGAAGCTTTATTACATAGGCATGATTGATTAAATCATGCGTCACAGGCTATCAACTTCAACTTCTCTCTCCTAAAGAAAGGCGGGGCTTAAAGTTCCAAACCTCTAATCCTGCCTTGGTCTTTCCAGTGAGCAGCTCCCCTCCTGAAGCTACCTAGGGGATGCCAATCCTCAGTCAATTCATTTGCATACAAAAAATATATTTATCACTTTGGAGAGTTCAAATCATTTGCATACAAAAATATACTTATCACTTTGGAAAGTTCAAATATTTTAAGAGTTGTATGCCAGGAAACAGGGAAGAAGACCAAATGTCTATTTCACAATGTCATACCTACTTCATAAAATTGTTATTAGAATCAAATGTGAAAGTGCTTGCTGATTGTAATATACTACCCAGGCATACTATTTTAAAATATATTATTCACAGATAATGTGTTCTAAATTTTGTGAAATAGTAGGGAAAGTGGATTAGTAATCCACTTTTCTTATTTGAAAAGAATATATGAATGTCAGAGTAGGCTACAGGCCTGGTTTATAAAAAGCTTAGCTACCTGAAACTATAAAGGCAAAACAAATCAGTAATTAATTTATCAAAAATGATACATATAACTATCTTAAAATATTAAATAATAAAGGTAATTATAAACTTATCATCAAATGTATTTCATCAGCATCCATAGTTTTCATGTATATAACTAATCCTGCACTCCACCTTCTATTTTATGGGGATGATGCTCAAGTCTATCTGTAGCACAGGCTCACCCCCTGGGACTAATGATATAATGGCAAAGGATAGAGAGCTAAAGCAAAGTTACTCATGCCTTTTTACTTCTGCCTTCTCTATGATCAAGGAGAAGTATGCACACACTGGAAAGGATCAATAACCATTGGTCTATTCAGAGGGAACTGAAGCCCCAAAATAGATGAGATGACTGCATGAAATAATTTGTTTTGCTAAATGAGTCCCACTCATTTGATTCTGCAGAACTCCATTCCAGCCTTCTGATGAAGTTGAGCTTATTTAAGTGCTGTTCAGAAACTTTAGAATGAGAAATGTTTTGGAATATAATATATGAAAAAATATCTGTCTTGCTTTGGAAAAAAAATATGGCAGAGTTTACAAGGTGATGGAAGACTTTCGTTGAAGGTAAAGTCCTGTGATATCTATTCTAGGTGTCTGTTTTGTAATGAGAAAAATTGTAAAGAATAATTTAAATGTAATTCGTTAATTTAAAATACATGTACAAAAGCACTTTAAGTACGCCAGAAGAAAGGAAGTAATAAAAATAAGAACTGAAATCAATGAGATTGAGAACAAAGAAGTGATAGAGAAAACAAATAAAACCAAAAGATGGTTCCTCGAAAAAAAAGTATTAAAATTGTTAATCCTCTGGCAAGATAGACAAAGAAGAGAGAAAATCCATATAACCAAATTATGAATGAAAGAAGGACTCCACAGACATTAAAATGATAAAGGAATATCTTATAAACAATTTTATGCACATACATTCTACAACTTAGATGAAAAGGACCAATTCCATT